ATAATGTGAGATAAAAGTATTGGGAAAAGTTCACATACCAGCCTGCATAAGTTCCTCCAGTGGCCAGCTAAAGACATAGAAATGTGACGAATCTGATGAGAATGACTCACAGAAGTTTTCCTGCCTGCAAAGATAACCCAGAATAAGCAATATGGATGAATTTGTGAACCCACCTCATCAAGGTAATCCAAAATAAATCATGGGAAGCTGAAGGATCCCAATGAATAAAAAGTCGAGGTCTATCATCTCGAAAAGAGTTAGTGCAAGCCACATAACACCTCAGGACCTTGACTAGATATAACAAATGGTTTGGGCAGTGATAGAGGTGAGAAATAGGCAGCAAATGAATTGGTGAGAAGGATTTATCCCCTTTCCTGGCTGCCAGAGTCTTAGATAGGAAGGACCTATTTGGGTATAAAAAGACATAAGTAGACTGATAAAGAGTCCTGTGCACATGCAGTTCAAACAACTCTGAGTGACAAAGTGCACAGGCCAGCAACAACAAAAAATACACTTTAAGGAAAAGGTAATACATGGTACATGGGGCTAATGGTTTGAATGGATGTCAAGAAAAAGAGTGTAATACCACCTTGATATCCAAGTTAAGTAATTGAAAAGGTCTTTTGGAACGATAGACTCAAAATGATTTGAGAAGGCCGGATAACACTGGGGACTCAAATAATTTTCAATGTTTACAGTATCAAAATGTAGTTGATAAAGCTGCCTTATATAAGTTGATAGTAGATGGTGCTAGATCCTTGTCACACAGCTAGGTCAAAAAACGAGGTATAGTTTGGCATATTTGGGTGAAGTGGGTTCAATTTCCTCATGAGACACCACTGTCGATAAGTATGCCATTTTTTTTGATAAATGTCCATTGATGGTCTATGGAGAGAATGAGACAAATACAAGGCAACTTTAGAAAGTAAGCCCCGATACCATGTGAAGGATCGAATAACTTCCATGCATGAAGCTTGAGCTTCGAAATGTCTGTGTATCTCAATGGAGATGGCCAAAAAAGTAGTGGCAGAGGTGGGCACTCTTGAAGATACTGAAGAAGAGGAAACCATGGTTGGGCCAGCCAATCTGGGGCTACCAACAGCACTCAACAAGGGGATGACTGAACCATAGCCATTGAGATGATGAATCCAAAAGCAGATCATCTGTCTCGACTATACCAAATAGATGCTACATCGCGAGATTTTCTGGTGGATATGCTCTCAGTTTGGGGCACTGATGATCAATGCATTTGCCACTCATTGGAACTCTCATCTACAGGCATTTTGGTCCCTGGTACCTCATCCTCGGGCACTGGCGATAGATGCATTCAGCCAGGACTGGACGGGATTGCACCTTTATGACTACCTGCTGATTTGTCTGTTACTCACAAGAACATAGCAAGCAAGGAGGCTGATATTATGGGATTGAGCCCAATAGTGAATATCCAAAGTTCGGAAATAAAGAACCCCGAGAATGAGTGCTCCCTTGATGGGAAATGTATTATACCACCATGGAATTTTTGGAGTAAAGCATGATGATTTTCCCTTCAATAGATCTAGATTTTGAGACATTGCCCTTTGGATAGCAAGAAGCTCTAAAATATTGATATGTAAGGAAGAGTCGCCATCCATCTATAGACAATGGAATTCCTGACTATTGATATATACTCCCCATCCTTGAAGTGAGGCATTTGTGAAGAGATAAATCTTAGGCCAAGGGGTGGTAGAGAAACATCTATTGCAGTATTGTTCCGATCTAACGACCACTCGAGTTCTAAGATATTCATCCTGAGTAAAAAGACTGGATGATCCAGTGAACTGCTGTTTATGATCCATTAGCTCAAAGGAATTAGAGATTCGAAGGATGCCCACATCCCCAAAAGAGTGAGAATCGTCCATGCAGTGAGAGAAGGAGAGGTGAGTAATAAAAGTCTGATTCCCTGTTCCATAGCATGGAGCCAAATGGGAGTCAGCTGAGCAAACTTAAATATGTGTTGAAAAAGACACCCAGATGGACAATGTATTGAGCAAGCATGATAATAGATTTCTCGACTGTGATAAGTAAGCCTGCCTTGGTGACTTCTGAAACGAGATTCTAGGTGTGACATTCCACCAACTGACGAGACAGTGCCAGAAGTAGCCAGTCATTCATATAATGATGTGTGCATAGGCCCCAATAATGAAGTGATGAGAGAAAGCCCATACAATTTTGCAGAACACATATGGTGCAGATGCTGAACTGCAGAACCTGACCCTTGTGCATAAAACATAGATAGCAGCGGGATGACTCTGCTATAGGAATGTGAAGATTGGCATCAGCAACACCAAACTTGGTCATCCACAGACCTGGGAGAAAATGCCAATGGGGGGGGGGAGATGACTCCATAGTGAACCTGGCAGGATCTAACGAATTGGTTAAGATGAGAAAGATTGATGATCAGGTGCCAATCTCCTATCTTCTTTGGCACAACAAATAGATGGAAATAAAATCTCAGAAGAACTGTATTGACTCTCTCTACTGCCCCCTTGATCAACAACTCTCTGGTAGCTCTGGAACAAAAGTCCACATTCCATGGACCTGATGGAGGTGGATAATGGTGGTGGTGATGTGACTTGTATGATCAACTCAGACATAAGAACCTGGAGTACCCATGAGGTAAAGGAATTCCATGTCCAGAAAATGTAACTGCACCCCCACAAGCATAGGGAAGTCACTGATGCCGCTGGTGATGGTCTGCCTAAGTGGAATAGCCTCTTTGATAAGAATGGAAGCTATTCTGGGTACCAGTAGATCAAGAAGCTGAAGCTTGGAGTTGGGACCCACAATGAGCAGTAGCAACCTTGACTCCCAGTAGGAGCCAAAGAAAGTTCAGAGGCCAATGACAACGAGGAAGAATGCAAACATACAACATCAATCCAAGATTCTAATGCTCCTGGATTGCCCACAAACATCAAGAGATGAAGAAAGGAAGCCACACATAACTTGTGGAGGGCAGCAGCCAGTGGATGAACGCCTTCCAATAAGGCATCTCTACCCAATAAGTCCCAACAACATACCAGGCAGTAAACCAATAAAAGAGCAAAAGCTGACAATCGTACCAAGGTCAAAGTCCCAAATTGTCATCAAAATGATGTGTGGATTGTTGAGAGGCTTCTGACAAAATGTGAAGGAAAGATAAATATCTCAGAACTGTGGTGAGGGTCAGACAAATATTAGAAAATTGTGATCTGTTAAAATTGATCACAGGCTCCATTCTGCAACCTTACATTTCCAAAAGTGGATCAAGTCTTTGGAATCTAAATATACGTCCTCCTGGTGGTGGTAAGCCAAAGCATATTGTTCCAACAAATGTGGCAAACAAGGCATAGCTATCCCTTTATGTAACTGAGTGATAAATCTTCCTGCATGAACAGCAACATCAGGTGATGGAGAAAAACTAAGTATTCACCATCAGATCTTTCCACCATCAAGGTAGGAGTAGACTCAAAAGCAACTGGGGAAAGCCCCAGAACCTCACACACCAAATTGACTAACTAAAGAAAAGGAGCAGGAGGTAGCTGATCCAACTTGGCCTCATGAGAAGCCAACCTAGTAAACAAAGGCACTGGAAAAAGTGAGTCTAAATTCTCTCCAGAATGTCCTGGATCATTGGCAGAAGCAGCCTCAGAACCCCCAGAGAAACAACCCCAGTCCGAATATATGTCTCCATCTCACTACAAATCATATCACAGACAGCATCAACTGAGAGTGACCCCCCCTTCCCAACTGATGACAGATGCTAGATAACAGAGGTGGAATAGGAGAGATCTGATTAACCTCCGTGTTGGAAACAATAACATGGGAATTAATGCCTGAAAAAGTCGTGTCATAATGAAGGGATTTATTTATTTATTTATCATTAATATTATTGAATGTAAAGCAACTAGGTGACACGAAAATCACACCCAAGGTCTTTAACAATCACAGTACTTCTTTAGAGAAACCCATTCCTAAACGCTTTGTTAAGAAAAAGTACCAGGATAGAGGGTGCATTGATGTGAGTGGGGTATTAAAAACCGAAGCAAGCAAGAAAAAGTCACACCAATAATTAGAAAGGCAAAGGAAGAAACCCTAGTGGTCAAGTAATAGCTATAAGTGGTAGATGAGGTATGTTTGTTTATGAACGATTCCTTGTTTGAAATGCTGTGTTCTTTAACATAACAATCTTTCTATGTGAATATTCTTCTAAAACAGAGTTGTTAAGATAACCTCTAACCGTAAGACTAACCCATGATGAGATTGCATATCATATGGCCAAGAATTTGCCATAAAGCAAGTATGTAGATGCTAAAGTATTTCACCTATGGTGTCATAGATTATATTTATGGTAACAAGCCATTACATAATAATAGGCAAATTGATGTTATAAAATGTGATTAATTCACTCTACCATTTAAAATTTTATCATAAATAATTTTATGGGACAATTAAACAAACTTAAACTTTACCGCTGAATCTAAAAATAATATTAAACCCAACTATAAAAAGAACTACAAAATTTCTGTTTATTCAGATATCTTAATCTTTCTCTACCCGTAACAGCTTCATACCAAAACACAACAATATGCTTGCTTAAACAAGTCATGTATTAATTCAGAGCATGATTGTAAGCAACTAAAAATTTCAGTTGATAACTTATAATAGAAATTTGAAGCCAAAAAGAGAAAGACAGAGATAGGGAGATACAAGTATTTTTCTGGTCTTATATTATGCAAACAAATTTTTAAAGATTTTTGAAGATATTGTACAGTTAGATTTTAGTATATATAAATGAATGTGTAAATTACAGTACAATTCTGTTTACTATAGGTTTTTATAACATTATATTTAATTACAAAATTTTTAAATAGATCACTGAATACACACACACACACATACTGACTCTTCATTAAATTCAAAAGGTGCAGTACTTAACACATTGTGTAGTTAATAAATAATTTACCAATGGGTTAGTAACATACCCATTACAGGGACAAGGTCTCCCACTACTAACACAATTTCCACAACCATCTAAAACATCTGTGGTCATCACACTGGAAGTTCCTGCTACACATTTCTCACAAAGATATTCTGCCATCTGATGGTAATTCCCTAGAACATACAATAATAAGAATGTTTAAAACAAATGAAAAATTATAAAACTGAAATCTCAAACCAATAGTGAACTGACTTTCATAATACAGTTTTTAAGGAACTCTCTTTCTGGAAAAAAAAAGAAAAGGTAATTGCACTCAAAATGAAAGCAGCTACACATAATTCCAATGAGTGACTATTGATAAAAGGGTGTCAAATACTACATTAATAAATGCTTCTGAGAAAACTTAGACTATGATACCAGTACAATGAAGGAAAGTTCCTTAACTGTTGAAATAAAATCAGTGGGAAAATTATCTATAGCTTTGAAAGTTTGAAAATTAAAGATTGTTTGGAATGAATTGTATACATATATTGAGTTACTGCTTTTTCTGCACAAGCATAAAAGGTTTAAGAGATAATCAAAAAACTAAAACACATCCTGCTCATAAATTATATATGTATGTAGATAAAATTAATATTGAAGAGCAACAGTGTATGTCACTAATTAAACAACTAAGAAATCAGTGAAGAAAGGATAATACAGTCACACCTGTGTCCACATACAAAGTAAAATAACTCAACAGTTACTGAGACAAAGTTAAACTGAGCACCTTTGATGTCATCACAAAAAAAACATTAACTACAGAGAGTGATTTAAGAAAAGTTAACTTGAACACATTTTCACTGTGTTGAAAATTATCAATGTTCTATCAAACGATATCAGGCTTTATTTATGATCATTCTGTGTGTCAGAAATGGTTGATACAGAAGTACTTCTTTAAAATTAGAGCACAAGCTTGCAGTGGTTATCATACAGAATAAACTTTTAACTAAAAGTTACTGTAATTATCTGCACACTTTTTCCAAACTTTTTGGACTCAAATATGAAGTGTACACAGGGAACAGTATTCTTTCAGTACTTTTCAGGTGAAATTTTCAGTCCAAATGTTGTCTCAGTACATCTTATAATCTGATGTAATCGTCATTTGTTGCTGTCAGATCACCAAAAGTAAAAAAAAACAAAAAAACGAGAGAACCACAACAAAGAGGAATAAACAAAAGTCTGAACTCCTGACATTTATCTTTTAGGCTTCAAGTCATACATGTATAATGGGTTTATTTTGTCAACCATAAGAACTGCACAGTTTTTATGCTGGTGCAAGTTTGGTGATAATGATCAGTCAAAATGTAATCATGCAAAACTTTTTCGATTTTTGGTAGCATTGGGTCATAAGATGATTTTAATGTCCTCAGCTACAATATGTTCACAGTAACATTCAATTGTAGTCACTTTCCAATGCTTTATGTAGAGGGAATTGTTTAAAAACATGTATACAGAACTTACAGGGGACCATAACTTAAGCCTTTGTTTGTTCATTAAGTAATACAGTTAATAACTTGGCAATAGTATTCACTCACACACACAAGTACAATTACTAATCAACACCATAATACACCACTTACTATACAAATGCCAATCAGTTCTTAGAATTACTCTTCATACTGTACATGGGCATAATGATTTCTCCTAGTATATGAAGCCAAAAATATACTGTGCACTATATTCGGGGACAAACTATACACAGGTATACTGTGCTTTATATGCGGGGACAAACTATACACAGGTATACTGTGCACTATATGCGGGGACAAACTATACACAGGTATACTATGCACTATATGCGGGACAAACTATACACAGGTATACTGTGCACTATATGCAGGGACAAACTATACACAGGTATACTGTGCACTATATGCGGGACAAACTATACACAGGTATACTGTGCACTATATGCGGGGACAAACTATACACAGGTATACTGTGCACTATATGCGGGGACAAACTATACACAGGTATACTGCGCACTATATGCGGGGACAAACTATACACAGGTATACTGTGCACTATATGCGGGGACAAGCTATACACAGGTATTTAAGGTGATTTAAAAAAATCATTAAACCATAATCATCTATGCAAAAAATATAAAAATTATTCAAAAGATACAATCTGAACATGTATCTAGCAGTACACTGGTTTTGTCAAATTTGTAATAGGTTCAGTATTAAAACATTTCTATTAAGTCACTATATAAAGAATTACATGAACAAATAACTAGCACATGTTAAGTTGTAACTCAACATTATAACAATGGTTACTTTTTATATTTTGTATAATGATATTTAGTTACATGTACACTACCACACATATTAAATGCACTTCCACAATTTGATTTTACCCCAATGTGTCTTAAATGGCACATATTTAACCATAATGTCTTACCTGGTACATAACATGTATTTGTACAATCTCGAAACTTGCTTGAAGACTGTGGGTTGAGACTACATATTCCACAGGCATCAAGATTATATGATAAAGCTGCAGTTTCTTTACAAAGACCCCTACAATCACGTTTATTATCCTCAAGTTCACTTTCCTCCAACATAGTATCACCACCTAGAAAATTTGCCCATAAAAGTTATCAGTATGTGAATATCAAAATTTTAAACTGACTTAGCTTCTCATCTTTGTTACAAAATTCTTACATTTTATTAGAAAAAATGTAATGTAATATTAAATTAATATGTAAGCACTAATGTTATCACAATATGTGAAATTTATATTAACTTTAATAAAACACAGGAAAAAACAATAAGAAAAATGAAATGTCATACAGAGACCACTGTGATACATTTAAATATAAATCAAAAAGGAAACTTATATCACAAAGAAATGGTAAATGATAAATAAACAAGTGTATTTAATGTTCACAATGTTTCTGGCTGGTGATTTTAAATTCTGCTGAAACAAACTTTTGCTAAATATTATTATATTAAAAACATCTGTTCATCATGTATTATTTATTTGGGGTATACCTTTTGTTTTGCTTTTTTTGATATAGAAAAGCCTATGTCTAGTTCAACATATGTTCATTATAATCTAAGCCATACTAAAGGATCTTAGAGGAAAAAAGCTAACCCATTTTACTCACAAGTGACACAATACAGCTTAAATACTAGACGATATATATATATAAAAACCAAAACCTAGATGTCTATTATAAGATTCTAACCTAAAAAGAAATTTTGTCCATTGTCAGTCCTTATTATTCTTCATTAACTCATTAATGTTTGCTATGATGTAAACAGTAATTGATTGTTGATTATCTTTGTAATAGCTTGTTGCAAATATGCTTGATTCACACATCATTGCACATTTGGTGACTAAAATCAAGCTTGGTTATGAGGTTTGTCATTCTGTGATTTATGTGCATATGCATCATAGAAGTAGATTGGTATCTCCAATAATATAAAGAGGATATCAGAAAATACTGATGTTACATTGTAGATGACATTTTTATAGATCTGATTTTACATAGGGTAGTACTTTATGTTAAAAGTGCTTGTCTACTGATCTCAATATTCAAACATAAACATACTCACTTGTGTATTTTTGCTGTCTTTTTTATGAGTATTAAATGAAAACAAAATAATTTCTGTATGAGTGTTACCCTTATTTACATGGTAAGGGTTATATTATATATTTATTTCTGTGTAAATATATATATATCTGACCACTTTTATACATTTGACGTAACTGATGAAGACCAGACTAAAGGTAAAACGGTGCTACTATAGCGTGAGGTCTACCGCCATATGTCGCCTACCCAGGTCTATCAAACATGTATAAAAATGTATTTTATGTTTCTTAGCTTATGTATACAGTGAACTTTGTACCTTGAAACCTGAGTGTTAGATGTGTTTGTTTTGTTCCTTTTTTTGTATCAGTTTCTTTCTGTAATGTTTTACCGGTGCTACTATAGCGTGAGGTCTACCGCCATATGTTGCCTATAGCGTGAGGTCTACCGCTGCATTATCCATCCCTCATGGATATCACACATTTCCATACATTTATTTTAGCGACAAACACTTAATTTGAGAAGCAGAAAACAAGTTACTGACTGAAGTCAAATAAAAAGTACATAAATTCATTTTAGAAAGTTTTAAAAGAATTCAGCAGCATACTGATCCAGAAAGGAATTACCATTTTACTGAGGTAGCTTCTATATATTGGAGAGAGATAAGTAATAAGCTTGTTATCAAGATTTATATGCTTACACACATACAAATTATTTTTTAGTAAAATTTAAAGTTAAATAAATTTTCCTGAAAGGAACTGTAATCTTGCTGAAACAAGCATGTTTCTGCCACATTGTTAGTTTTTGTGTTTTGTTCTCTAAAACTCAGTTAAAAGCTTGAATTCACTTCATCATATCATCATCATCAGGCTTATAACTTGCTCATCTAACTGTTTGTAAAAAAAAGCATAAAATTGTTCCCAAGTCTATTGGCTCAAGATCTTTAAGTTTAAATAGCAGTAACATCTCATCTAAAAAAGTAAATAATTAAACATATATTCAACCTTCAAAACTCGGACTGTTGTTCACTAATTCAGCAACTTACCCAAACAAATCCCTGTGCACTCATCAATATAGGCTCTACCATTGCAAGTGTCATTGCAGTCAAAAACTCCTGAACCTCCACACACCCCATAACAGTCTGTGCCATAACTGTAAGGTAAACTTGTGATTCCACCAACACAATATCCACATTCATTCTTTGTTGCATTCTTAAAACCTATAATTTCACAATCTGAAAATGTTTAAAGACACTTATATTGAAGGTATAACGGTGAACAATACTGAAAATATTCTCCATGCACAAGAATGACAATACTTAGGTCTAAAGTTCATGAAGTTTCAACACACTATACTGATTATTATAACCATTTTATTTATTAGAATATATGTACTTTATATTACTTGGGCCCAAATTAACATTGTATTACAAAGATTGCAATATATATGCTGACAGCTATAACTTATAAGCCTGTAAAATATTCACAAAATAATATTAAATTTTAAACTTTCTTGAAGCATGACGATTTAAAAGAAAAAATAGGAACAAATTATGTGACAATCCTATGTATACTATATTATACCAAGTTTTAATATTATTAGCCTAATTAAGTGCTCGTCTAAAATTTTCATTAAATTCAAGTCTAATTGTACCTTGAGTTACTCAATACTACCACATTATCTGCACGTACATGGTACAGGAAGAGACGTACGTCTGCTGTTTAAATTACTAATTACAAATAATGTCAAATTGATTAAGAATTTGTGAAGGGTTAAGTTTGTAAACTATACTGACCACTGTATACATAGCATCTTCAAGTTCAAATTCACAAGAAAATACCAACTTTTACAACAGTCTACAAATTATGTTTATTTATTTACCAGGCATCATAGAAACATTTTTTTTAAATATCCAAATACAGGATACTTGCTTTTAACTTAAAAGTTGAATTTAACGACATATGAATGTAATCAATAATAATTTCAAACAACAAGCAAACAGCTGATTATAATTGATAATAATTTCAAGCAACACACAAACAACTAAGGCGCCCCCTGTAACACACAAATAATAACTCTTCCTTTGGTTTTATACTAATCTTTTAATAGAATATGTACGTTATGCTTAATATTACACATTTTTTCAAGATTTCGTTGAATTAAAAATAAATAAAAAATCACGTAAAAGATCATTTTTAATTGATATAATACATTACTATGAAAATTAAAATATGCAAGACTACAAACCTGATATGTGCAGACGCATCGGTAATTGCAACAATACTGATGAATTATACACAAACAACAGAGAGTAAAATGCAATAAACTTCAAAACAAACGAATAACCTAGAAGAAAGTTTATGTGAATAATATGCTGTTTCATTGTAAGCTAACACAATACTGTTTCGTATCGAGATTTCTTTTACAAAATTCATCTAGTCTGTTCGACTTGACATCCACGGTGACTGCCCATCTTTTTTAAAACCTGGAAGAAATAATAAATATAACTTAAATTAAGCTGGATTATTATACTACAAAATTATGAACATATAATAAGAAAGAAAATGTAATGTATTTAAGTCTGTATTTTGTAATTATGGTAAAGCTACTAAGTCTATCTGCTGTCATTCCTAATTTTGAATCACCAACCAGAGGAAAAGCACCGTACCATCTGTCATCCAAGCTAAGAACTGACTGTAACTCTTATAACGCACCCAGAGTTTAAAGTGAGGAGAATATTTTGTGGCATCACACATGTTGTAAATTCGCTCGTTAGTTCCGAATTCCAGAGCTTTACTACAGAAATGTAATAAGAAAGTCCCTGCATATGGTTAGTTTTTGTTTGTTTGTTTGTTCTAAGCACAAAGCTACACAATGAGCTATATGTGCTGTGGCCACTACAGATATCGAAACTCGGTTTTTAGTGTTATTAGTTTTCAGACTGCCCCTAAGCTACTAGGGAGTGTCATTCATATAGCCATTCCATCAGCTAAACTTCCATGTTTTCGTTTATTATCAGACATAGAGTTGCACAATGGATAATCTGTACTGTGACCATCACGAGTATCGAAAACTGATTTCTTTGCAATATAAACTCCCAGACACACCACTTAGCCACCGGGGGGGGGGGATTTCACGTTGTGCATTTAAACTGTGAAAGTGAGTTTTATACAAAAGATAAAAATGAACATTTTTGTAATTAAAAATTTCCAAACTTTTATCACGAAGGCCATTCTGTTGATTGTATCTTATACATTGTAGCTTCCACTAATATTAATATTCAGATAACTAATCCTTTAAATGTATAAATATAAAACCGGACATTTGAGCTCAAAAACTTTTTTGGCCCCCATTCTTTGCCATTGAAGCTACAATAAAAACTAGTATTTTGAATGTCAGATTGCATAATAAGTACCAGAGGTGATTGTTTTAGTTGTCAGACCAATAACTTTGAAATTAATTTTACCGTCATCTTTGTTCGCGTCCTCTAAAAAATGTGAACGCTGTTTTTGAAGGACATTTGATGAATTGCGTAAAAAAAGTTAAATTACGATCATTATATATATAGAAGTTTAGTAGTTTTACCACATTTCCAAAGTTTAGGTCTTACTTGAAAAATAGGTATCAAATGGCCTAGTGATTAAGTTGCTCAACTCATAATCCGCGGGATCGAAACCCTTTCATGAACATACTTACCTTTTCAGCCGTGAGAGCATTATAATGTGAAGGCCAATCCCACTATTCGTTGGTAAAAAGCAGCCCAAGAGTTGGTGGTGGATGGCGTTGGCAAGCTTCCTTCCCTCTAGTCTATCAATTCAAATTAGGAGCGACTAACGCATTTAGCCCTTGAGTAACTGTGAGCGAGATTCAACAAACGAACATGTTCTAACACCGACAGTAATATATACAGTCCTCAATTACTTTCAACTTTCTTTCCATCTTAAGTTTTTATTTAAATTTAAGAATTTTGTAAGGCCCATAAAGTGGGTGAGAAACACTGAATAAACAGATAATGAAGAGATTTTGCTATACGTTGAAATGTATTCACTAGAAGCTTTCGGATACTTTACTGTAATCGTCGTCAGGCTTACATTATATTAATACTTCAACATGTTAAGAAGGACAAAACAAGCTTTTTATGTTGCACTGAGAGACATCTACATTAGTTCTAAAATTGAAATTATTCGACCACGATGAGTGACATGTGTGAGTAATACTTGAGTAAGGAAGCACATTATGCTAATATAATACTAAGTTAACAAACAATGATTTATAACTATAATGGAGTAATTTATTTGGGGGGGGGGATTATTACCACATGCTTCGACAGAACATTGGTCTGTACTTGAAGAAGACAGACCAATGTTCTGTCGAAGAATGTAGTATGTAATTTTTACTACTAGCTGGAGTACCCGTCCACTGGATGGAATTAATGTAAGTTCATGATTAATGAAAGGTTATCTTAGGACATGAAAAGTAGCTTCCCTTATATGTAATTGTACAAAACGCCCATAAAAACTGCAAAACACAAACCGCAATTTGCATGGACCCAAAAAAACCTTCAGTGAAGATCCATCAATAGGGGGCGAAGTAGTGGTAAAAACGCCCATAAAAACTGCAAAACTGAAAATGTATCTCCCCATGGACCTAATGAACCTCCATACCTAATTTGGTGAGTATCTATTCACACCCTGCGAAGTAATTACAAGGACATACAACAGACAGTACTATTATATTAATATAGATGCTTATAAATTATTGTTCACCTACTTATTATTAAGTATGAGTAATATATTCACTATAGTATTGTGGACAAAGAAATATCAAGTTCTTATCATAATATATCTTAAGCTGGAAGGGAAGGGAATTAATTGAATTCAAAGTTAATAAGAATAGAGCTTCTTTAAATAAATTGACAACGTTTTGACAACACACAAATGTGATTCTAGTGAATTTTCTGTGATTACAAGCTTTTATATAACGTATCGTGCCTGTGAATTAACTAATAATGTACTAAAAGATGAGGATAACACTAGATTATTAAATTTAATACCGCGAACAGCTTTACAATGGAAATGTTTTTTAAGCAGTTAAAACTTCGACATTACAACTCATTGGTTGTTGCTGTTTGAAGTTAAGCACAAAGCTACACAATAGGCTATCTGTGCTCTGTCCAACACGGGAATCGAAACCCGGTTTCTAGCGTTGTAAGTCCGCAGACATACCGCTGTGCCACTGGGGGCTCAACTTATAGGAGTTGGCCATCTTCAGGTAATGTGTGATCAATAACAATTACAAATTGATAGTGAATATTTACATTTGAATGTTTAGTTCAACGATTCATTCTAACAGCTGCGTTGTGTATAGCTAGTGATTTAACATTATTAGTTTTTCTTTGTCTTCGGTTACCATTACAAATATTCAAGATTGATTTTGTGGCAGGATCAGACACATATTACACATAATCCATAAAGTTTTCTTTTCCAACGAAACTGAAATCCTTATTTGTCGACTTGGGTAAAAGGGGACAATTACACAGAAGTAGAATAGAAACATTAATGAATTATTTGTTTGTTTTGGTGCAAAGCTACATAATAGGCTATTTATGCTCTGTCCACCACGGGGAATCGGATCTCGAATTTTAGCATTTTAAACTTAACGCTGACACACTAGGGCAGGGGCAAACATTAATGAAACAATGTGAACTTTTCATAACTTTTTTTTTTTACTGAGGAGCAATTCTTGTAAGAAACGTAGTCTTCCCCTCAGGTGAGAATACAATGCATAAGTTCACTGGGGTTTGTTTGTTTTGAATTTCACGCAAACCTACACGAAGGCTATCCACGCTAGTCGTCCCTAATTTAGCAGTGAAAGACTAGAGGGAAGGTAGCTAGTCATAACCACCCACCGCCAACTCTTGGGCTACTCTTTTTACCAACAAACAGTGGGATTTACTGTCACATCATAACGCCCTCCATCGGCTGAAAAGGCAAGCATGTTTGTGGGACGGGGGATTCGAACCCGCGACTCGCATATTGCGACTCGCGCACCCTAACCATGGTAGGCCCGTTCCCTAGGAATAGACCAGAAATAAATGAGCTTATTTCACCTATTGAAAACGTAAAATTCTTAAATATGAGAATACTGGCTTCAGAGTACCAAGGTTGTGCGAGCATTTATCTCTGGAAAATACAAGGTGGTCCATAATTACCTTCCCTATTTTTAAATAAATATATAACATTTACCTGTGGGAAATATTGTTACATACATGTTTTAATTGGAAATATTTTTCCTGAGATATGTTTTTTTTCAAAATCAAAATCCAAGTTGTTTGCAGAACAGTGGTTTAAAATTTAATAGCATGTGACACGTGCCAAACTATCACATACACTTTGAACATTGAGATATTTCAAGTTTCGTTAACTAAAGACTCACAATGCAAGCAAACATTCCGTTCGATCATTCTTGGAGGCGTGTCCTAATATAACTATTGTGCTACTGATGCGCTCCATAATTATGAAAACTTTCAAACACATCTAAAAAAAATATTTCAAAACGATCTTTTGTAAGACACAAAGAGAAATAATTAAAAATATCTTCCCTTTTCTTTCTTGTTTCCAATTCTTAATGACACTTTTTGCTAACAGTTTACATGTTGAAGTGTTACAAACAAAAATAAATAGTTTTTATCACATCAATGACAAGAAGTCAGTGTTTGTTTTTAATTACCAAACGTTACTACATATAAGTCGTAAGAAAAGTTGGTAGAATCTGTCTCATTTTCAACCAAAGAATTAATTGGTATTTCGACCTTATGACACCTTATGCGACATATGGATTAAACGGCCAGGTCAGAGATATCCGAGGCTCAGGCATAGCCGTCACTAATTTAGAACTGCTGATAAGAGACAGAACAACAAGTTAGCAACAAACGCCACCTAAACAAATATTCTTAACCGACTAGCAAGATTGACTGGCTCATAGATAACAATCGAAAGTGTGGATCGTTCTTAGTAACATATTGCGGCTCGAACTTTAGACCTTCCAACGTGCATCCCGACCTCCATTTTCAACCAATGAAAACATATATCTATATTATCTAACTTACTCATAGTTAACGAGTTTGTCAAATCATTCAAAACCCCGGAACTAGTAAAGAAAAAACATTGTTTACTGTTGCTTGGTTTTAAATAGCGAAGTAAGAGCCATTTCACATGTGGCTTATATTTGACATTATTACCCTTTTACCACACTTCCTGTGTGTTTCCATCTAAAGTTGCTGCAATTCATCAGAAAATACAAACGAACGCAAAGCACTGATTTATTCGCGTTAGCAATTTGTTTAACTAAACTACTTTCAAAGGAGTAATTAAATATTTGAGATACAGCATGTTCGATTTCTTTTCTCAAAACGCTCACCTACTGTAACTTGTGTTTAGATAAAATATATAACATAAAAACAGTC